GGTAACTATCGAAAGAAGAACTCTATTTAGATAAAAGAAAAGTATTAAATTTTGTATTAGAAGACTATTAGTCCTGTAGCTGTGGATTGAAAGATAATTTGGAATGAGGAGAAAAGAAAACTCATTGTCTTCAGGTTGATTCCTATTCATAACAACCCTATAGGACAGAGGACAGCTGCCCCATAGGGTTTCCAAGGCCATAAATATTGAAAGAAGTAGACTTCCACACCTTTCTCCCACAGAGCAGCCTGTTTGTAAAGGCTACACCTTTCTGCCACAGAGCAGCCAGTTTGTAAAGCTCTATACAATAAAATTAAGAAAACAGCAATATTTGGTAGAAAACCTGAGGTCCCTTTCTGATCTGTTTGTACTCACAGACCTGTAATGAAGACAGTAGAAAAGATAAGAAATTAAAGATACTGGTTTTTTTTTTTGGTCATCATCATCATTGTTGCCTTTACCTTTTCTCATTCTAATATTAAAAGATCTCACTGAGACTTTAATGTTAAGTGTAAATGGAAACATTTTTAAGCCAAATTCAGTTGTTTGAGACACATTAACCATCATGTTGACATTTGAGTTTCATAGTAATGACACTGAGGTTATTTGGACAAGATCATATTTCCATTTTTCAGTTTACTAGGTCATGCTTCTCTGCTTTCTGAAACTGCTTATATATTGGGGCACAATATACATGTCACGGCTTATTCACTCAGAAAAATATAAACCATTATAGAAAGAGGTTTTGGAATTAACCTAATATATGCCCATTTAAAAATGTATTTCACTAAAATAAAGTCTCAAAAAAGTTATTAGTTTTTTTGTGTTATTCTTTAAAATGATGCTAATGAATAAAAATGTGTCACTCCTAAAATAGATACTGTCAATTTTGTTATCCTGAACAATATGGTCATCATTGATTCTGCTTTGTCTCCTCAGATAAATTTGCAAAGGAAAATGCGGGTCACTGGTGTGATTACCCAAGGAGCCAAGAGGATTGGAAGCCCAGAATATATAAAATCATACAAAATTGCCTATAGTAATGATGGAAAGACTTGGGCAATGTACAAAGTGAAAGGAACCAATGAAGACATGGTAAGCTGATTTAACCTGCTTAATTTAAATTTAAAATCCCATTGTTAATCATTAATTCTCAGATGATTGATCACTGTGTCTTTGGTAGAAGACTTATCTTGTAGGAAATTAATTTTTGGTGGTTTTTTAAAAAATTCTTGAAATGTGGTAAAAGAGATAAGGAATTCTTCTGAGTTATAAATTTACAATGGCTATCATTTATGTTTTCCTGAGATTTTAATTAGTAGTACCATAAAAATTTTGTCACAAAATTAGTATGGTCCTATATGTGACAATTAATTTTTGTTTTAAAAATGGTTTTCAATTTTATTTTATTGTTTTGACAGATTAGCACTAATCGTTAATCAAATAACTACTTACCAAAATGATTATCTTTGAAGCACAAAGTGATAGGCCAGATGCACTGATACCTTTATGTGCCTTAATATATGGAAAAATGTTATTTAGAAGAATACAGTGTTTCAGAGGAAGTGGATATAGTATTAATGTCTCCTCTGACTCTTCATAGATAGTCTTAATTCTTCCTCAAAAACTTTATTTAAAAATAACAGGACTTCAGATCATCCCACTTAAAACTTAGCCTTTAGATTAGACTTCAATAAATTTTATGACAGTTTTAAAATTATCTTATTAAATAAATTTAAATAAAATGTTTTGGTTACCAGGTAATATAAAATGTTGTTGTTGTTATGTGCCGACGAGTCGGCCCCGACTCATAGCGACCCCTCCTTGCGTTTCCGAGGTCATATCACTACAGAAGTCGATTGCCCCCATCTGCCTTCCAAGGAGTGGCTGATGGGTTTGAACCACCAGCCTTCTGGTCAGCAGTCAAGTGCCGTAGGCATTACGCTATCAGAGCTCTCAGTATAAAATATAAAATTAAAATTAAATTAAAGGAAATTAAAAATGACATATTTAGCACTTAATTTTTTAGAAACAAATGTAATTTTTCAGTAGATATATAGGTGAATTTCTTATCTGATGATCTGAGACTGACTGAGTAAGCAAGGAATCTTCATGCATCAGATCATAGCATTGTTGTTGTTGTTGTTATTTGCCATTGAGTTGGCCCTGACTCATAGCGACCCCTCCTTGGGTTGCCGAGGCAGTATCACTACGGAAGTAGATTTCTTAACCTTCCTTCTGAGGAGTGGTTGTGGGTTTGAACCGCCAGCCTTATGGTTAGCAGTCAAGTGCCTTAGGCACTATGCTATCAGAGCTCCTAAATACTAAATAGTAAAATGAATAAAAGGTTAAGTTAAAGAAATTAAGTTGCCCATTTGTCATATAAGAGAGAAGCACTTACTTGGCTCTGAAGTCCTTGCTTTAAAATTGATAACTCCTTTATAGGGTAGATTATACCATAGGCCACAGTGGTTTATAGCTTTAAGATCTTATCTATGGGTTTTCTATTCCTATTGATGTTAAGGTGCTAAATGCTTCAGACACCTAAATTATTTATTCCAATCCTTGAAAGATTAAGTTGGGTAAGGCATGGGGCTAGTATATGGAATAGCCAAAGAAGCTGCTACAATTAATAATTTTAAAATTCATGTTATGCCCTTACACAGGTGTTCCGTGGAAATGTTGATAACAACACCCCCTATGCCAACTCTTTCACACCACCCATAAAAGCTCAATATGTCAGACTTTATCCTCAAGTTTGTCGAAGGCATTGCACTTTAAGAATGGAACTTCTTGGCTGTGAGCTATCAGGTGAGTTTCATATTATCTATTTCTATACTGTATTTAAAAATCAAAACCAAACCCATTACCACTGAGTCGCTTCCAACTCATAGTAACCCACAGGACAGAATAGAACTGTCCCATAAAGTTTTCATGGCTATAAATAATACAGAAGCAGACTACCTCATCTTTCTCCCTTGGAGTAGCTGGTGGGTTTGAACCACCAACCTTTTGTTTAGCAGGCAAATGGTTTAACCACTGTGCCATGTGAGTTTCAAGAAATAAAAACACATTTTCTTGTAGTCTGCTACTAAAATGAAAATTTTCAACACTCATAGATATTCATTGCTGCTAAAAAATATTTATATCATGGTTCAGTTGGGAAACACTGTCACATGTGAGATAAACAATTTCTATAATATGCCACAATTTGGAATTAAGGAGCAATGTATTTTTCATTGTGGTTCTGAGTGGTCAAGAAAATTACAAAAAATTCTTACCAGCAATTTTTGTGAAATGTAAATGTATCTTACTGTTGTTGGTAGTAGCTGATTAATATTTTATGTCAAATGTTTAGTAAAAACTGCCAGGCCTCATAAAGTACAATTAAGTTTAGGCTACATAGCATAGAAGAGTAAGTTTCATTTATGTATATCTACCATAATAACTTGGCTTTTGGGAGGAAGGTTTTGTGGAACATGAAAATTTATCATTTCTCCCAAAGAAACAATGCTTCAGTACCAAGATTGTTTCATAAATTCATTATTGGATCTTTCTCAGCTAGAGACCAGCTTATTGTACAGTGGTTATCCATCCCAAAGATAGTATATCAAAGACTTGGAGTTAAATAATTCTTGTCCTCCAGGAGCATCAGTAGTAAGTATAGGAGGAAGTCTTAACGTGTTCTTCTCATAGTGGTCCCCTTTCAATATAGCTAGATTATGAACGAAATAGAAAATTTTGTCTAGACGTTTTACTGTGTTACATTGTTGGTGGTTATTCTTATATTTCTGGCATCAAAATTTATAAACTCTCTTGCCCATGTGGCCTGAAATTATTTTGTTCAAACAACTATGGAAAAAAATGTACAAGGCTTTTTAGCATATCCTTGAAGCATGAGAAATTCTTTTTCAAACTTACCATACCTACCATTTAGTTAAAAAATAGAAGTACACATCTCTGCCAAAAGACAACTATATGCTTTTTATTAATTTCAAAAGATGGCTTATAGCTTAAAGTTCATATTTCTTTTTGTTTCCCTTTTCAGAATTATTTCTGACACCAAGAATGTTTACTAAGTACATAAAAGTTGCTATTAAATAAAACAATGGGTGTTTTGTTTGTTTGTTTTTTAATAGGCCCATTACATTTAAAGGAGCTGCAGTGATTTGGCCAGATGAATCAACCTATTTTAGGAATCACATTTTCATATTATTTATGGGTGTCTTTTATGAAGCAACCAACATACGGCTTTAGTGCCGTTAATTATCCTATCTGAGATGTTTCCCCTATTTTGGTAATTCAGATTGGCTTATTGATCAACAGTAAATCTCAGCAGAATTATTGCTGTACAGTGTTTGTACTGCATGCCACTATATCACCAGGGCCACTGTCATCCCTGACCCATTCATCATAAAGCAATCAAGAGGGAGCCACAATATGATAAGGTCTCCTGTAAGCTCTGTAGTTTTAGCTGCTTAATATCACCTTCTCCAATTTTTCCAGTCTTTTGATTCAAGAGGGTCAATCACCTATACATGGCAAACCCCTAAGGTGTAAATATATTTTACTTTCAAGTTTAACAAGAGGTTACACTTGACACTTTGCAGATTTTATTTTCTGAAAAAAGAAGCAGTGCCCTATCTCCCAATGCCACAAATTGATTTTGAACTTACAAGTACAGAGCAATATCTGTTGCTAGATATTGTAAAAGCTAGGGCACTTCATTATCAAAATGATCTATTTTATTGTTAAAACTTCACTTTGTTTAGGAGATATCCACAGTAGTAAAAATTAATTAGTTTATATGTATGAAATCATATGGCTTAGAAAGGAAATCTGTGGCATTAGCTACATTGGCAGAAAGGTTAGTTATAACAGTTGTAAATAAACAGTAATATGACATACCAAACTTTTTCCCAGAATCCAATGCAGCACAGTAAAGCCCAAGGCTGCCTTATGGTACTCAATAAACTTATAAGACCTCTCAACCTGCCTAGAAGATCAGCAGTTAATCTTCTCTCAGACACTTAAAAAGAAAATCTGCTAAAATCTCCAAAAGATACATAATATAAGATGTTTAGAATGACATAGATCATGACTATAATTGTTGTTGTTGTTATGTGCCGTGGAGTTGGACCCAACTCATAGCACCCCTCTTTGGGTTTCCGAAGTGGTATCACTACAGAAGCAGATTGCCCACCCTTTCTTCTGAGGAGTGACTGGTGAGTTTGAACCTCCAGCCTTCTGGTTAGCAGTCAAATGCCTTAGGCACTACACCACCAGAGCTCCTATAACTATAATTAGATGTGGAATAATAATCCATTCTTTCTTTGAGCAAATATTTATTTAACACCTCACTTACTGATGAAGATCAAAGACTATAACCTTTGGTATGGATTATGCCTCAACATAAAGAAAACAAAAAATCCTCACAACTGAACCAATAAGCAACATAACACTAAATGTAGAAAAGATTGAAGTTGTTAAATATTTAATTTCACTTGGATCCACAACCAACACCCATGGAAGCAGCAGTAAATACATCACACATTGTATCGCACTGCGCAAATCTGCTGCAGGGGACACCTTTAAAGTTTTAAAGAGCAAAGATGTCACTTTGAAGTCTAAGGTGTGCCTAACCAAAGCCATAGCATTTTCTATGTCCTCATATGTATGTGAAAGCTGGTCAATGCATAAAGAAGGTGAAGAAGAATTGATGCCTTTGAATTACAGTTGGTGTTGGCAAAGAATACTGAAAATAGCAAGGAGTGCCAGAAGAACGAATAAATCTGTCCTGGAAGAAGTGCAGCTGGAATGCTCCTTAGAAGCAAGCATGACCAGACTTTATCTCTTGACTTTGGTCATAGTGTCAGAAGGGACCATTTCCTGGAGAAGGATATCATGCTTGGTAAAGCAGAGGTTCAGCGAACAAGGGGAAGATCTTCAAGGAGATGGATCGACACAGTGACTGCAATGATGGACTTAAGCATAGCAAAGATTATGAGGATGGCCAAGGTCCAGGCCGTTTTTACCTCTGTTGCACATAAAGTCACTATGAGTCAGTACTGACTGGATGGGACCTAACCACAACAACTGGGCTGAATACTGGATGACAGATTGGTTATTAAATGAATGCTATGACTAAGAAAAAATGGTCAAAGTAGAGGCATTCTTTTTTTCTAGTCAATGCTTCAAATACTATGTTAAATAATAAAAGGAAAAAAATAACAACCTTTCTTTCTCCCATTTATCTTTTCCTAAAAATAAACAGTTTTACAAAGATGGAGAAGGGAAAGTATTGAAGACCAAGTAAAATGTCTATAATATCAACAATGCATATTATCTTGTAACTGCCTAAAATAATTAGCATGCCATTTGTTATAATACTATAATTCATAATTCTATAAGATTCTTAGAACTTGCAGACTCTGTGAGATTTTGTTATGATACTTTCCTTACCCAGAATTTATATTGAAGTGTTATAGCTGTCTTTATCATAGAGCTTAAAGTATAGATTTCCTAGTAATGAAACCGGAAAAAATGCTGTTTTAAGGCAATAGGACTAACCGCTAGGCCATTTTTCATCATGTTTGTGTAGGAAAGACATTTCCTAGAAAGTGTAGGTGAAGATAAACATGAAGGAACCTCAGGAAGGAAGAAGTGATCTAATGATCTATCTATTGACCAGAACAAAATAGTTGTCATTGAGTCAATTCCAACTCATGACAACCCCGTATGTGTCAAAATAGAACTATGCTCCATAGGGTTTTCAATGACTAATTTTTCAGAAGTAGGTCACCAGGACTTTCTTCTGAGGTGCTTCTGGGTAGACTCTAACTGTCAAAGTTTCTGTTAGCAGCCAACGGCTTCACCAGTGCTTAATAATTTGCACCACACAGGCCAAGACAGAGAGCAATAAATTGCTGTTGTTGTTATGTGTGGCTGAGTCATCTCTGACTCATAGCGAGCCCTCCTTGAGTTTCCAAAGTGTTATCACTACAGAAGCAGACTGCCCAATTTTCATTTGAGAAGTGGCTGGTGGGTTTGAACTGCCAGCCTTCTGATCAGCAGTCAAGTGCCTTACACACTACGCCACCAGAGTTCCCATTACGTTCTAGTTAAGACTTAATTATTGCAAAAGGGTTCTAAATCACCTCTCCTAGAGCCCAGACTTAAAATGGCTTAGTTTTAGAAATTCTACCCATTCATAGGATAGCCATTAGTACTTGCTGATCTGTGGGCACTTAACACTGCTACAAGGCGCTTTGGTGTCATAGTAGTTAAATCATTTTGACTGCTAACCAAAAGGCTGGCAGTTCAGATCAGTTGCTCTGTGGAAGAAAGATGAGGCAGTCTGCTTCTGTAAAGATTTACAGCCTTGGGAACACTGTGGGGCAGGTCTGGTCTCTCCAAAAGTGTCACAATGAGTCAGAATCGACTCATTGGCAGTGGTTTGTTTTAACACTCCTGTGAATTTGAGTAGGTAACACTTACCAAATGCTAACTATGTGTCAGCATTATTTCTAAATACTGTATAGTTTTAAACTAACTTAAAAGAACACTTCTATGAGATAGATTCTATTAATATCACCATTTGACAGATATGAAAACTGAGGCATAATGTGGTTAAATAAATGGGTTCAAGGCAACACAACTTGGAAGTAAGGGACTAGTAGAGTACAAGGGAAAGTCATTGGTTAGAGAAGTCTTATCATTTATTCTTTGTCCTTGATGATCAAACTTGCTCTGTTTATTTCCTGGCCAAATGTAACAGTTTCACATACTGAAGACTCAATCATTGACCTATATGGTAATAAAGCCATCATTCCTGTTACAACCTTTGTGAATGTCATTTTGTGCCACTTACATTTCAAAATTTGGAATAATACATGTATATTTCTGTGTGTATAAACACAGACATGCGTTACATAGTCACACATATATACACACGACTTGATGGACAAACAAACCTGTATTTTGGACCACATCAAAACTATGAACAAATGTGGTAAATTTGAGAATGTTCCCCATATATCCCAATACTAGCAGTTATTGAGTATGATTAAATATAAGATTTTATATAAAGTTGTCTTGTAATGATTTTAACTAGAATGAACTAATTTTCTTCTGTTATCTTACCTATTACTTTACATTCTACACTTTCACAATGCCTGCTACATAGTACACACTGAACATAGTAACATTTAATATTTCCCTGCCTTCCAGAGGAAGCCATATTGGTGCCATCAGAATCACTGATGAAGATTAACAGATACTTATTTGGAAATATAATACTACCTAGTTTAGATTATAACAGTGGAGGAGTTTGTGACAATGATGTATACTAAGATAACTTTCATTTCCAGTCATATGGGAACAGATACAAGAAAACCAAATATACTCTGTGAGTATATTTTTAGAGACACAATGAAACTGTTAAAAGCCATGGAACAATCATAAGGCTACCAGTAATGAGACAGGAGAGTATTTCAGTATTGTTTTCATTTTTCAAAATCATCTATCACAGAAAAGTAGTCTGAATTGTCTTTCTTGTTTTCAATTTTTTGAAAATACATTCTCAGAAAAATAGCCTGAATTGGCTATTTTGCTTTTCAATTTTTTTCCAGATTTATTTCTGATTATAGCTTTGTGTGTGTGTGTGAATTTTAGATGTTTTCTCTGTGGGGAAATGAATAGCATTATGCTTAATCTTCTCTTGACGATACAAAATGAACGCAGAAAACTTCCAGGGTGATAAATTATTTTTCTCATTGAACCTCTTCTCATTTTCTTTCAGGCTGCTCTGAACCTCTGGGGATGAAATCAGGACATATACAAGACTACCAGATTACTGCCTCCAGCATCTTCAGAACTCTCAATATGGACATGTTCACTTGGGAACCAAGGAAAGCTCGTCTGGATAAGCAAGGCAAAGTGAATGCCTGGACTTCCGGACACAACGACCAGTCACAATGGTTACAGGTAATGCTGTCAAAAACTGTTTCACCTTTCACCACTCCTCTCTCTCAGGAGATTATGTATTGGTTAGGTGAATGTCAGAGCCATTACCTTCATACAAATTACATATGTTTTCCCCTTTGGTTTTTGCTAAGTTGATAAAACATAGAAATTCCTTATGAATCCATGTCCAGATGCTATTGTCACTCTAATATTGATTTTTAGATGCTACTGTCAGGTTGATGTGTCATATTGTACCAGATTACACTATCTATCTATCTACCTATCTATGCCTATTTGATGATCGGTTATGAGAGCATTTTCTTTGTAACATTTCTCTATTGTGTCAGTATTGGTTTGGAAACTGTCACAGGAGGAATCCAAACAGCAGTGATAACAAGCCATTTACCTTGAGATTATTAACAAAAAATCATGACTCATGACTTATTACCTCTTCACCTGTGGTTGCTAAGCAGTATAGCAATTTGATTATTTTTGTCCTAACAGAGCTTACTTATAGAAAGAAAGCTTAGATACTGAAGTTTAGTTAGCATTTGTAAGTGAAGTGAGGTCACAGTCAGTGCTTTTTAGAACAATATCATTGAAATGTGCTTTTTTATGAAGTACTTTTGAAGTATATACAAATGCGTTAATGTCTTCTGTGGTAAAGAAAAGTAAGACAGCTTAATTCCATAATGAGGTCACTGTATATGGAATATATGAGTTCTATTCTCACTTATTTTTATGCTACATACATGAATTTAAAAACTCTGGCAACTCATTGTATTTCTCCAAATAGTGAACACAATTAAAATAGCAAACTTTAATGTGTCAAACCAGATTTGTCACATCTGAAACGACTATTACCAAGTCACTTGAAATTTCAGTCACTAGTCCGTCCCTTCCTTACTTGGCCTTACTTTTCCCTATTTTAATATGTAGAAATTGTCACTGTTTTTACTACTTTGCTGTCACATTTGATCTGGACCCTCCTTGACTGGAGATTTATTGAGCTCTTTCATTTGCCACCACACATTATGGATAATTATGTATGTCTTTCTCCTATTACTATTCTATGAGCTTCTTGGAGATACAGAGTATGTATTTTTTTTATATCATCTCAACACTCAGCATGATGTGTTGTATATAACAATAACAAATTAAATCATTCATTTAGCAATATTCATTGAGTGCCTGTTGTTGTTGTTATGTGCCATCGAGTCAGTCCTGACTCATTGCGACCCCTCCTTGAGTTTCTGAGGCAGTATCACTACGGAAGTAGGATTGCCCAACCTTCCTTCCGAGGAGTGGCTGGTGGGTTTGAACCGCCAGCCTTCTGGTTAGCAGTCAAGTGCCTTAGCCACTACGCTACCAGAGCTCCCTATGAAGTACCATATAACATGATAAATAGAGGTGCCGTACGAGTGAGTGTGACACCATTCATGATCTTAAAACATTACCTCCTTCTTAAACCATTCCTCTTATTGGGCTTCCATTACAACATATTCTTTTTGTTATCCTCCTACCTCCTGGCTAATCTTTCTCAATATCTTTTCCATGTCACCCTCCCTCTCTCTGTTATTGTTGTTACCCTTTTCTAAAACCAAATCTCCACCATCATAATAACTGATTTAGCAAGTATTAGTGACTTCAACTACTAAATAACAATCCAATTACTCTAAAATATTTTCATTGTGACTATGTAGTCTCTCACTCCATTATTTAAAATCCTTTGATAACTCCCTAGTGACTTCACAATTAAATACATATTCCTTAATTATGTCTTAAAAATCTTTCCATAGTTTGGTTCCATTTCATTTGGTGCCAAATTCTTCTAATTTTTCTTGGGTTGTTCAAACTAAATATAATTTCTCACTTAATATTCCTTTATAACTGTCCTCTTCCTAGAGGAAAGAATGGAAAGAATGCCTTTGCCCATAGCATCACTGGCTTAAGTAAGTTAAATCCATCGGCTGTGGTTTGCATGTACCTTTACCTTGGAGGAATCCCTGGATGGTGCTGATGGTTAACCACCCTGACTATTAATAAAACTGTGTCAATTCAAGTCACTCTGAGGTACATTGGAAGAAAGAACTAACAATGTAGTTCAAAGAAATCAGGCATTAAAATCTCTATGGAATACAGTTCTACTCTGACACACGTGGGGTCACATGAGAAGACTCAACAGCAACTAGTTTTCTTCTGAGGAGGCTTTGTTGCCAGTTCCTTTCCTCCTCAACCCTGGCTTGAGTTATCCTCTATATTCTCCTATGTCCTCTTGCTTCCCTCATCAGAGCTTTATTGCACTGCATTGGAAACTGTGTTTTCATTCTACTTTGTTTTCTCTGAAAATGCCAGGACTGTCTATGTCTTGACTGTTTTAGCCCCAGTGCTTTGCTAACTGTCACAAAACCTGGCACCTGGTAGGCATTCAATAAAATTTTGTTGAATGAATGAATAATGAATGCTTAGTTCAGAGTATAATTCAAGTTATGCATTTGGGTCTACACAGCATATAATTTGATACCCAATTTAAAAGGCAAACTGTTACATATCTGCAAAGTTTTAAACAACATTTAAAAAATAAATTTGAAGTCAAATATGAAAGAGCTGACTTTTTTAATAGAGGAATTAAATTTTTATAACACATTTCCTTCATGAAGCTTTCAAATTGTTGATTTGAAGAAAATTATCCTTCTTTTTGTTAGTCTTTTCAATGGCAAAGTGAATCCTGTTCTTTATTGTTATGATATTTTTAAAACTGTAAATATTCCAGTTATATTTCTGATTACCTGCAACTAATATTATTTGGGAGTCATACTACAAGACAAAATATTTTATACACCATAGCTAATTCAGACAGACTGGAGGACTCTAGAAATACTCACCTAAAGGGACTGCTAGTGGCAACTTTTCTTAGAAAAACAAAAATAAAACAAATATTTTTACATGAATGAAGGTGTAATATTCAGTGCAAACACCCATCCATCACTTGATTGAGGATAGCTTTTCAACTGTCTTCTTAAAGTCACTTGCATACTGAAATTGATTCATTCTGTTGATGACAGATTTTCTGTCAAGTCAAGGACCAATTCATCCAATATATATCTATTTTTTGTGTGTCAAAACATATTTAGAACCTCCAAAGGAAAGAAAATGGATACCTGTCCTTTTATTTACTTTCTGACATTGTGCAAGAAAATGCTAAAGAACTGTTACCATTTTTAGTGTTTTCTTCTTGAGAGAATATAATCTTTTCAACTACTCATTGTTTGTGTTTTTGTTGAAAATAAGCTTGTCAATCTTACAAATAACAATGGAATAGAATATTTTTGGTTTTGAGTTGTCCATACAGAGATCAATTTTTATCTTTAGCTGAGGCTTCTGAATTTTTAAATTTTAGCTCTATTTCTAATTAAAATATATAAGTTGTGACCTATACCTTTCAGAGGAGAAAACATGTCTATAACTTATATTCTCTTCCTTCATTATAAATCTTCTGTCTATTAATTATTTAAAGAAATTTATTTTATATACCAACTATATATGTGACTTTCTAATACAAAGAGTTTTATTTTAGTTGAATAGATTTTTCTAAAACATAATCAGATAACATTTGGAATTATAATAGCAATAAATGAACCCAAGGAAACCTTAAGTAGGCCTATTGTGGTATTTCAAGAATTCTTATGTATTCCTTTAAGAATTCTAGCACATGCAAGTATCATTTTCATGTTTTATTCCTATTATTACTCTAATGTTTCTTCCAGTCTCTTCTGTAAGATCAAAATTTCTGGAGTCCCTCAACCAGAGTTCTTGTGTTATTTTTTAGAAGACATTGTACCTAACTGATAGTACCCAAGAACTCCTATTAATCATCCAGTCATCATTCTATCCCTATGTGAACATGGCAGAAATGTGTCAAGTCCCAAGCAGTCCTAGATGAGAGACATTTTTCAGTCCTTTTAAAGAATGCTATTGTCTCTACTCTAATGCTATGATGTTCTCCAAAACTTCAAAATTTAACCAAAACTTTAAACAACAATACCTAACCAATGTGTTTTCCAGAGCCTACTAAAAGTTAAATAGCACTTTCTGCCATTCATATTTATCGTCTCCAAACCCATGTAGAAAGATCCTAAGCCAATCATTTCAGATTCATAGATGGACATTCCTGACGTACGATGGACAACATTTTAATCCCTTTTATAAAAATAAAGTGGCATTTAACTCACTGAGGTTTGTTAAAATTAGATAATTCTTTTCTGTGATTAACTTCTAAACAGAGGAGCCAGAATGTGTTAGATTTTTAGGTGGAATAAAAAAGATTAATGATGAAACAAAGAAAGCATACAATAAGTGCCTGTTACTGAGTAATTTATTTATTTCCCTTTTTGATCATTTATGTGATCTTAGGAGGGTATAATCTCACAGCATCAATCACAATAAAAATGCAAACATTTTCTTTCTCCAAAAATACATTTCCAATAAAACTATGAAATATAAACCTACTGCCATTGAGTCGATTCTGACTCAGAGTGACCTTATAGGATAGAGTAGAACTTCCCCATAGGGTTACCAAAGGCTGTAAATTGTTAAGGAAGCAGACTGCCTCCTCTTTCTCCCACAAAGCTACTGGTGGGTTCAAACCACCAAACTTTTCATTAGTAGTCAAATGTTTTAATTACTGTGTCACCAGAGCTCCTATGAAATAAGAAGTAATATATTATAGATTGGTTGCAAACTTTAAGTAGTATTGATAGATTACATAAATCTTCAATACCAAAAAGAAAGAGAGAGAAAGAGAGAAAGAAATGTTTTTGTCTAGATAGAATTAGATTTTTCAGATGTTTGATCTCAAAAGGAAAAAAAAAAAAAACAAACCTGCCATTGAGTTGATTCCAACTCATAGCTACCCCCAGTGGCTTTCCAAGGTGGAAAATCTTCACAGAAGTAGGTTGCCCCATATTCCTTCTACAAAGCTGGTGGTGGCTTTGAACTGCCAACCTTCTAGTTAGCAGTCA